TAAATAATTTGCTAAATAATTAGTAATAAAATAAAATAAAACAAAGCAAAACAAAAAAAAATAAAATTAATAGCATAGCAATATGATTTAAAAAAGTGAATATAATAAAAAATTTTTGGCAAAAATTTATTTAAACGTTTATACGAAATTATTACTAAAAACTTGAAAGTACTAAAACCCAAAAGAGCAAAACGTCGAAGATAATTATTTTTTAAAAGAAAAAAATTTTTAATCAATGTAATTATTGCGAAAAGAAGTAATTTATTCTTTAATTGCGACGACACATTAGATAGTTATGTAAAATTTTAGCCACCCCATCAATGATGTAATTGGTTTCATCTAATGGAAAATGATATTTGTATTCATCCAATGGGAAATGGTGGGGGAATTAGTAAACCCAAATTGCAGCCCATCGGCTTTGGTCACTTGGCTCCATTGTGTAGCTAAAATCAGCTTCAGAATAAGCCATTAACAGCTCTGAAGGCTACGTATTTGAAAACAGTTGACAGTAATTCCGCATTTGGTTAGTTCTATTCCAAAGAACAATAATAAAAAAAGTATTGATCGTTATTTACTTTAATTAGAACAAAAATCTATTAAAGCAATACAAAATAAAAGTTGAAAGTTTGCTATAGTTAAACAATCTCATAATATAGTGCTATATAATGCAATATCGTGAAGTTTAAGTGCAGAATTTCACATTTCATTGCATTTAACGAATTGTATGGTTTATAGGCACTTTTAATATACGTAACTGATTGGAAACTTCGTGATATATATTTTGCAATTCTTGAATATCCAGGTTGATGGCGTATTGTAAAGGTGTGACCTCTGTGGATCATAATGTCAATTTAAAATCATCAGTATAAAATTGAGTATATGCTTATAAATGATCGGGACGGGTTGGGTTTAAAACCCGACCCGACCTGACCAGTAATAAAAATTTTTTTTGGGCTCGGGCCCAGGTCGAGTTTAAGCGGGCCTGGGTTGGGCTCAAGCAAACCCAACCTGACCCGGCCCATTACACACCCTAATTAAATCTAATACAAGATATAGAAGAACAAGAAGTCTAAAAGAAATAAAAAAAATACAGAACTTGTATAAAAAGAAAGAAAAGATCTTGATTATGATAGGAAAAGAAAGTATAGCCAAAGAGCTCTGTAGAAGAGAAAGATAGATAAGAGGCCTAATTACAAAAGAAGATTTTAACAAAATTTGGCTAAGCTTTGATTTTAACAAACAAGCAAAAGACTTTGTAGTAAGACTTTGGAAAAGATGGATTAAAAAAATTTATAAAGAGATATAGGTCGCAGGGTGCAACTAGTACAAAAATGGGAAAAAAAGAATAGTATAATGCGAAAAGAAAAAAGAGAATCTAGTACAAATACCAAAGAAAAAAAGAAAGCCAAAAAGAAAAAGAAAAAGAGAGCAAGTGAAAAGAAGAACCCAATTGATAAGTTTTACGAAAGAAAGAAGAAGAGTGAAATTGAATTATGGTAGAAAGTGGTACTAGAATTAACTAAAAATGAGGTTTTGAGTTGGATAAAAGGTAGGCAATGAGCAGAATAGTGGAAAGTTTAATCAGTAGTCTTGACAGGCTGTAAAAACTATCTGAGGAAATATTAATGAATTTGTTTGCAAAATAATTAGTATTAAGATAAATCTTACTATAGCAGGTTGCACATAGATATTCTTGGAACAACTGGGTGAGCCAATACTTGTAACTTAGGTATCAGAAGGAATAGCCCTTTAAAAAATTTAATATTTTATAGTATAATATTATTAAATCTAATAAAGTAGGGGCAAGACTGCTAAATATTTAAAAAAAATATATTTATGATGATTTGACATTCACCATGATCTATAACAATTATTAATAAAAATTTTAAATTTAAATTATTTCTTATATGTTAATTTAATTTCAAAGAAATTTTTATATTTGAAATTAGCAAACTTATCTTTATAACTTTTTAAAATAATATTTAATAGAGTAGTTAACTTTAAAAATTAATAGATAATCTAGTTTAAAAAGTGTCAAAATTTAGTACAATGCACTAGATTTACTCCTTTTGACATTAATTTTGTACAAAAGAATATTTAATTTCATACAAAATGACATACAATTTTATATAAAATGATGTTCAATTTTGTACAAAGTGATATTTAAATTCACACAAAGTGACATTCAAATTTGTACAAAATAACAATTAAAATAAGTTTGATTAAATTGTAATATCTCATGATCTAGTAATCCGTTTAGATGATTCTGGTATTATTCATATCGCCTTATGAAGAGGCACCAAAATCATTAAAATTGGATTACTAGAACATGAGATATCATAATTGACTCAACTTTATTTTAATTGTCATTGTGTACAGATTTGAAAGTTACTTTGTGCAAATTTAAATGTCTCTTTGTATAAAATCGAATGTCACTTTGTATGAAATTGAATATCATTTTGTTCGAAATTAAATATCCTTTTGTACAAAATTGATGTCAAAAGGGGTAGTACAGATAAATCCTATCCATTAAGTAAAGCTACTAGAAGTTTTTTTAAAGTTACAAATTTTTGATATAATATTATTTTTATTTAAATTTATAAATTTTGTACTTTAAAAATAGAATTATAAAAAATTCTTGTTTAAAATAGTTAAAATCAATTTTTTTATTTTGAAAAATATAGTAATTTTATTATCAATCAAGTTTTTAACCAGTTAGTCAAGAGCCTCTAACAAATATCGATGACAGGTCATAACCATAACTGTTGATTCTTTACATGTAGTAATATTATTGTCAAAGAATTGAGATTTTAAGATGGGATAATTAAGATTGATTTGGATGTTGATTCTTATTCTAAAAAATAAAATAGAATAAATAAGCTAGATTTTGTTCAGCTTGTAATTATACATTATATTCTTGGCGCATATCGGTAAAGAACGTAGCAATTTGCTAAGAGAAACCTCTCTAATGCTCCCTCTATGTAAAATCTCTAATCTCTTTAATGCCCTCCGTAAATGCACACCATCTCAAAAGTGTACATTTTTGAGTGTATTTAAGAAGTTCTCTGTATATGAATTTAGCCATTTTAGAGGAGAACGTAACCAATTTCTCATTCAGATAACTCAAAGAGACCACATGGTGTCAATACCATCGAAAGGTACTAGACAGTCCTAGGTGATGACAACTAAATATATTATGGGAGATACAGTCACATGATACTCAACAGTAAGGATCTAAGCACTATACCGTTACAAGGTATTAAAAATAAAAAGATACTATGAAATTTTATCCCCATATACCTGGTGCGATAATAAAACATAACTATAAAAAACTTAACTGATATCAATTTATTTATTTTTTCGAATGTTATTGGTCGATCATGGAATTTGGAAGACATTTGAATAACCAGTTCACTATGTCGTGCAATTTCGAAGCATTTGCTCATCAGTAGTTTCAATATTGGAATGGGAATATATAACTGTCTTTGATTCACTGTTTGTTGTATAATAAAATTCATAACAATTTGAAATGTTTTGGTAGTAACAATTCACAGGAATTCAGAAATAACAGAAAAACGATCCTATACCATTTTATCGCGCAAAAAGAATGACCAACCAGAGAACGAGTGCATTTTTTTGCTAATAAGTATAAATCATAGATGACGTAACCTTTCGAGCAGATTCAACATATTATTCGATATTTTGTTCTTTTTTCACATATTATCCTGGTATTTCTAATTAGGAATATAAGATGATTCGAGTCATCCCGTTTTATTATATTTTTAAGTCGCACATTATCAACGTCTTAATCGACACTTTTATTTTGTATATTTGCAGCCTTGATTGCTCGTGTTATAACTTTTTAGGACAAGGAATTAATATCTGAAAAATAAAGAAACTCTACCCAACCAAAGATCGATAAGGCGATGTTTCTTGATAAACATTCACAACAATGTTTTTCGGTAGCTGTTCTTTGATTATTTCGGTTCTCATAAATCTAATCGTCAAGAACGCCACGAAAATACGCATCCATATAATGTAAGATCATTTGAATATGGCCATTTACATTATGCAATACTAAGATTACAAAACCCCACTCAATGTGATGTTACGCGCAAATATTGCTAGGTTGTTAAATTACTATTATTTGTGGTAGGACATATCTGTTATGCGTCGTAACCAATCATTAATTGTTATTTTTTTTTTTTCATAACATTTGTGTAATAAAGTAAGGAGATTTTGTCGAGAGCTGTCAAGAAACTGGCACAATCTTTTTCCTAATTTGTATTTAAGTAAACCAGTAGAATTTAAAATTAAAAATTAATCCATTTGCAATAATAATGATCGACTCTTGTTTTGATAATAGTATGTAAGGTGGTATATTGCGTGATAAATTGTCAAAAAATGTAAAATGGTTAATGAATATTCTTATAAAGAGCCTTTGTTTGTCGGATGAAATTTCTACCCATCGATCATTTTTGCCATCTATATATGTGTAATGTGACACAAACAAAAATCACTCCACGTGTGATGCATTAAGATTTCTAGTACATACGTATATACATCTATCTCATACCAGACTGTATGCGCAATATTAAAATTTCAATTAATTTGAGTATAAAAATCTAATAAATCAATTAGTGCTTACAATTTTAGTCTAGCTGTGTTATAAATGAATAGTGCCAGTTCTTTATCGACAAAAAAAATTAGCATTATTTGTTTCATCTTCTTTATGATAATTTAATGTTTCGCTAAATGGACACAAATTCCAAAAATGGACATAATTACAGATAACGGTATAATTATAACGAAATGTACTTATATAAGAATAAATGTTTTATTCTTCGTTAATTAATTCATTTTGCATTCGTTTCTGTTTACGCTAACGTCTGGACGTTAGTATTACCTTTTTTCTCTCGAATTCCTAAAATTACCAATTTTAATATAATCGCTACCATAAACCTAGATGTTCAAACTTCTGATTTATCACTTTCTTTTAACGTTTTGCATTATCGTAGCAGTAACGAATGCAGCATTCATTGTAAAAACACCCAAAAATTCATTTAACCAACCATTTCATCCGACTACCAAAATTTATGGGTCATATGCACAATCCATTAATGGTCCAGGACACGTAGCAAATATAGAGCTCAACACAAACATATCATCAATAAATCCTGATAACTTCGAATATGTTCAAAACATCCAATGTGGCCAAGATGGAAAAATCACTCTAACGTTAAGTAACGAAACGGCTCTTCATGATGTACTAAATTGGCCATCAAAGGTCATCATATTGATTAGCGACAAATGGAAATGCTTTGGACAATCAACAACGCAATTTTATTTAGTAGGAAACCAATCAATCGATGAAATAAAGAAACAAGTCAATTTTACATCTGAACCTTGTGAAGTTTTAAAGTGGACAGAAAGTTATTCATTTGATCTCGTATGGGATCAATCTATAAAACCACTTAAAAAACGAACAAAAAACTTATACCTTCGAGATTTGGATCAACAAACTAAAATTGATCTTAGCATTTTATTTGATTCAAAAACAGGTTCATCATCTAAACCAAACTTCACAATGTCAATTGGACAAAACGACACAAGTGAATCTTTAGTATGCACAAATTGTTTCACAAATGGATCTGCTACAATTGGTCTACATGCTTCAGGCACTCCCTTAAATATAACAAACGCTACAATTTCAATAACAGGAAATCTGAGTATTAATGTTGATATCGCCGTATCGGCTTCCGTAACGATCAAACCGTTTTCATCCCCCGATATTCAAATCATCGAAATTCCATTAACTTCTTTAAGCGTACCCGGACTTTTCAACTTAGGTCCCGCGCTGATTTTGGTAGCAAATGCTAAAGTAGCTACTAGTTTAACCGGAACATTGAATACTGGCGGTGAAATTTCATTCAATAACTTTCAACTTCAAGCTTCATTAATCGATAAAAAAACCAATGTAACGGGATTTGATAACCCAAAAATCAAATCCCACAAACCCTCAACTGATGTCGAAGCTTCAGTCGGAATTTCAGGAACTTTGAAACCTCAACTAGCACTCGATATAAGCATATTGACTGGTCAAGTACAATTTAAAACGGGAATTCAGGTTGAAGGTACTTTAGGTGTCACTGCATCTGTTGGTAATGGAAACGGTTGTAAAAAAAATAATCCATTAAATTTGAAGAGCACATTAGATGGGGATGTGGGATTTTTTGTTGAGAGTTTTGAAAAACCTGTTTTTAAGTTTCCTTCTCTGGAATTGGGTCGTTTTTGTTTATAAGGATTGGAACCGTTAACCACATAAAATATTGCTTTATTGCTTTGACCGGAATTATGTTTATTATTTGCCAAAATTTTTGATTAGTGCCGGCTGAATTAAATGATTAAAATGTAAATATCCGAATTTGCATATTTTTAGACAACAATACTATTTTCAATTCAATAAAAAAAAATAATAATAAAAAATGCTGCTAAGTAGTCGACTCCAATAAATTTTAAAAATTCTGCGCAGTGCTTTAAATTTTCTGCGAATGAAGATTATCAAAGAATAAATCCTTCAGCAAAGATCACATGATAATCGTCTAAAATTTTGGTGTGATTATTTCGATATTTGAAGGCTCTTGAATTCTACGTTCATGTAGAATTAAAAATGTCTCTCAATAATTGAAATTGTCATGTCCTGTCGATACTGTCCAACTTTAACATACAGTGGTTCTTGAATTTACGGTATTATATAAATTAACTACTTATTATTGCAAGGCAATTTTTTATCCCCTATCCCAATTTACTTCATTAAATTATATTGGATCGTAGTCTATATCTAGTGGTGGAAGCGAATTTAAAAAATTACAACTCAGAATACGTCACGGCATGTAATTATTGGGGTTGTACGTCAACTAAGTAAAACAAAACTATATATGGTGTCATATAAAAATTTATTATAAATTTTTTTCGTGTAACAATAGATCATAGTATTATAGTGATAGCAATTTTTATTAAGCGATATTTATTACAATCTTTAGCATAAAATTAAAATTAAATATAATTTAATGAAATATCTGCTTAAAAACAGTTGACGCAATGTCTGGCCCAAATAGTTGTGGTTGCGCTTCTTGTAGTGGATGCTTTTTTGTTTTATTTCTTTGTTTTCGTATTTCATCTAATCCGTCGGTTAAATTTTCTTTTGAAATCTTGTTAGATGACAAGCGAAGCCTTGATTCTTTCATTAATTCTGACATGTTCACATGTGTTTTTAAATCCAGTTTGTTGAAGAGACCTTCAACTTGCTGCTGGTGAATAATTATAAAATAAATATGATTTTTAATGAAATTGTAAAGTTTAGGAAATTCGTATATTTTTGGGTTTTCACAAATACAGAATTGTTCGAATTCTTTAAAAAATTCATAATCGGATAATAGCATTGCACATAAACCAAAGTCATTTGTTATTCCATTATTTTTATCGTCTTCCAAATATTGAGCATAATTCAACTCTAAATCGGAAGGTGGATAAATCTAAGAATTTTCAAGAATTACGTGATAGTAACTAGATGCAAATGATCGTGCATTATTCCCACCAAGTCGACATATTGCTAGTGGTAAATGAAGCCATTGCGAAAACCATTTTTCAAAATGGTCTAAAGCTGCTATAATTTCAAGCTCCAAATTATTAAAAAGATTATCAAATTCTTCATTTGATAATAAGTCCACGGCCTCTAGTAATTGATCAGAAAAAAATATGTCAAAGTTATCCTTGAGATTTTTAAGAAAATCAAGCCATTCAGAGACTTTATCTGGCATCTCGTGCACTCGACGACCAGAAGGTAAAGTAACCAATTCATTATTTTGATAAACCCGTGGTATAGGATCATGACCCACCATAAATTGCATAAGAGGTTCATAAAAATGTTCGACAAAAGTTACCAAACATTTAATTTGAATGTTTAATTTTGGGTCATTAACCCAAGATTTAAAAAGACACCATTCATTAAAATAAGCTTTGGGAATATTTTGATGATTTTCTAATTCTTTGATAAACCATTGTGTAAATTCAATGCGAGCAATATGCCGATTGAGATATTGCTTTGCTGTTTGTAGTTCATATCCCCATCTTGAACGAAGTGGTAGTTGATATTGTTCATAATAAAACCCTAGCAATCCAATATAAAGATTTTTAATAATTTGGGAATTAATGTTAAGTGGTTTATCCTTATCACTCGAATCGTATCTATTGTGCAATTTCCAGGCCAAATAAAGCAAATTATAAGGATGCGGTTTTTTTGAAAAACCAGTGCTATTTGAAAGCATTCCAAATGCTTTTTGCTCAAAATAATTGAATACAATCTGAAGTATATAAAGCCCACATCCGATACGTATTGAATTTGAACCTGATTTTTTTTTGAAAAAGAACAGTAGCACCTTTTTTTTCTCCTGACATGTAAGCTGTATTGTCGGTCACCTATAATATACACTTTTTAATATCTAATCCATCACTTTTAATACATTTAATAACGGTATCTGAAATAGTATCTGCGTTACATCTTGAAATGCTCTGAAAGTGAACCATAACAACAACTGGAGCTTGGCAATTTTGATTCCAGTATTGGTAACACATGATAAAATTTTTTGTTTCACCTCTTGTTGACTCATCGACCATAATCTCATATGCTGAAGCATTAGCAAGTTGATTAATTTGTGTACTTATATAAAGTTTTGAAATATCTTTATGCCAAGTACAGTATGACCTCGATATAACGAAGCTCAGGAGCTGAAGGGTTTGGTTCGATATATCAAGGTTTCGATCTATTGAGGTACCTTATTATAACGAATTTATATAGTCTTGGGCACCTTGCTATAACGAAGGTTTATAACCTATACTGTACAACTTAGCTTGAGTTAATTATATACTGTATATATGACTTATTATGAGAATAAGCCAATTAAATCTTAAGAGTTGAAGATTTTATATTTTTTTTAGCTTTTTTTGCAAATTTAAAATCAAGTTTAAAATGAGTGAAGCTTCGGTAATAAAAAGGTACAGTATTTATAAGGTTCATATGAATAATATATGATTACATGTATTTATTGCACATTATTAATGATGCTTCATTTCAATATGTGGCGCATATACTGTAATTTGAAAAGAATCTATAAATTAAAGTCTCACATAATTAATACTGTATATGCGAGTATAAATTAATGAATAAATTATTTCTGATGCCATGTAAATAAACTATAAATTATAAACGTACTGCTTA